AAGAATATAGTTGGAATAAAATAAATTGTAATTGTGGTTAAATAAATTGTCTGCTGCATTTATTTGAATTTAAACGGTAAGTATGGTTATTATGTCAGGTAAACGTTCATCATTTGCAAGGTGCTTACACAGCAGTCAATGATGGACATCAGAGAATGGTTAAAACAATTAGCCCTTATCGCCAGCAGTAACACTGCATCTACTGCAGGTAATAACAGTTCAGATCATGTGGACATTACGCCTGATTCGCCGGCTTGTCCGCCTCGCCCACGGAGGCGGAGCAGCCACAGCCGCCTTCGTTACCCCAAACACCGCCACCCCTCGGCGGCCCCCAAGTGCCAGAGGACCTCGGTAAAACAGAGCGTGCCCAGGTATATTTAAAAAAGCACCCAACTCGCCTGTACAGTGGGGTAAGGCACTCATTTTGCAGCTCATGGTTTCAAAACAGAGATTGGCTGGAATATTCCTGTAAAAAAGATGCCATCTTCTGCTATGCATATAGACATTTCGGTTCGAGTAAGTCAGATGCGTTCACCACAACTGGCTACAACAACTGGCGCCATGCTCTTGTGCGTGATAATGGACTGGGAAGGCATGAATCAAGCAAAGAGCACATAGATCCATAGATCTCTTAATGTTGCTCTCAAAGTGCACCAGATTGATGCTTTTAACTTCAATATTTAAAAAAAAGTCCTCCCCGGGGTGGCATGCCCCCGGACCCCCCTAGAGGGTGTTAGGTCCACTCCCCACTTATAAAAATAGCATTTTACCACTGCACCCTCTCTAATCTCAGATGCACCCTGGGTCATTTTGTTCTGGAACCGGGCCTGAAACAGATGTCCCGGCACAGGAGCAAACAAAGTCTAAGCCACCTATTTTTGGAAAACTTTCACTGCTTGTATCTTGCTGTCGGATAGTCCTTTCTAGGTATGATACTAAGTTATTTTTTCATGATTTTAATTCCACAAAATCACACAATAAGAGAAATAAACTAAAATCCTGGCATCAGTTGACAGTTGGGGTCAAATGTTTTTTGTTTTTTTTATAGAGTCTGGTTCCTTTAAAGAGAGCATAGATAACGGTTTCAGTTCCTTTTTGGAAAGGGCTGTCTCATGGCAATGTCTTGAAAATATTTGTAATATAGCGTACACTTCAAACTGCCATGTTTTCTTGGGGTTGCCAAAATATGTTAAGTTGCTTCAGCCGTCCACAAAGGTTTAACGTTTTTCTCCTGTGCTGTTGCTTCTGTCTTTCTCTTTACATTGCATTTAGCTGACGCTTTTATCCAAAGCGACTTACAATAAGTGCGTTCGACCAACAAGATACAAAGTCTCTCTAAACTTCTCTAAACTGCAGCCATAATTAACTGCAGGTTAAACATTAAGTGTATGAGTTACTAATCCAAAGTCAAACAATCTGAACTATTTCTATTAGACTAACTTATAGCTAGTTTCCTCATGTTATTCTCACAGTTCGTCCAGCGGCTGCCGAAGACACGCTCAGGAAAGATAATGCGGCGGGTGCTGCGTAAGGTGGTGGAGCGAGACCTGGACGGGCTGGGGGACCTCAGCACGCTGGACGACCCCGCAGCAGTTCAGGAAATCATCCAAGGTCACCGTGAGCTGTGTGGCAAACAACAACCGTCATGAAGTGTTCCCAGAAAACATTCCCATCTAATGAAGAATATGTGACGCTCGCACGGTACTCTCCGTCACTTAACCAGGCGTGTGCAATTTTATAAAAAATGATTTTAGAGGCCAAACTTTCTCTTTGCTTTCTTTGTAAATATGACATTTTATGAAATCAGGTATTCACAAATGTAATCTTGGAAGGAGTCACATTATTGGAACTCATTTTCCCAATGTAGTGATTGTAAACATAAGACAATAAACAACTTTAAAAGGCACACAAGATGAACTGAGTATAAAGTGTCTTTTTTCTTTCCTCGTGTGTTTTCATGATATGTGAATTCACTCAGAGCGTTCCTACCCCGAAACCTTTTTGGGTCCAGAACATTTGGGTTGAGCTCTGCCTCAATGACCCATGAGTAAACCGAAACTGGAAGAGCCCAGTGTTCCACCTCCACTGCAGGATTTGGTTTACAAAGGACCTTACATCAAAGAATGCGAGTGTGTGAACAGGAATTCAGGAGTGTGTCTGTCCTTGTCTCCCACACTGAAGAAGATGGCTCTGCATGTCACAGAGCTTCTTCTCTGAGAATCCCACTGCCTCCCTTTAGCTTGGTTATCTCCCACTGGCCTCCTCCACATAGTTTCAGCTGGACATCATGGTACTGTGAGAACCAGAGGGTACAGACAGAGTTCATTTCCTTAATAGATCAGGACGATTTGAAAACAAAGCAAGGCGTTAAAATGTAAGGACAATTGACATATTGAAACCAAATCATCTGAAACGGACGAACCAGAAAGCTTTGAATACACATCATAAATACAAGTTTTCAAATTCATTCCTATTACTTCCTCTGAGTCTAATTTAGTAGTTTTTTCTTGACAAAGTGTCTCATTAAATAATTTGTTGAATGCTGTACAGATTGTAAACCCCCGAGGGGAAGTTTGTAATTTGTGATATTTGGTTATATACATCATTTGATATAGATCTTTTTAGGTCATTCTTTGGCAGTTTCCATATTTCTTAATTTTTATTCTCTAAATTGCTTGGTGCAAAATAGACCAAGGACAGGCAAAGCTGGATGTGTAATTTAGGATGTGTGTGTGTGTGTGTGTGTGTGTGTGTGTGTGTGTGTGTGTGTGTGTGTGTGTGTGTGTGTGTGTGTGTGTCCAGTGTACCTTCTCCAGGCTGCTGCGGTGCCCCAGACTGATCAGAGTCATGCCGAGCTGTTTACAGGTGCGGTACAGCTGAGCCTCTGCCTCCTCCGTCAGAGCACTGGTGGCCTCATCCAACACTGAGGTAAGAGTTTTTTTAATACAAATGTAAATATGAGTTATTACTTGGTCTGGGTCACCCCTAACAGTTGGCATAATAATAACATAATAACATCTGAAATGCTCGATGTAGGTGCTAGAGTGGGCTGAAACGGTCTTGATCCCTCAGGTGCTTGCCTGACATAAACCGAGAAGAACACACCTGCATATTTTGGCTGCAGGTAGAAGAGTCGGGCAAAGCAAAGACGCTGCATTTCCCCCGGAGACAGACTATCATACCTGCAGAGAGAAACTAGTTCAGACCTGCATCACCTTATCGAATGTTTGGAGAAGTAATACATACATCTATTGCTTGGCTTTGCCAGTTTTTCCCTCTCTTACCAGTTCCAGTCCACCTGTGCATCGAGCCCGCCGGTCCGCTCCACGAGACTGGACTGGAGCACAGATAGAAGTTTAAATCAGGATTAATGGATGTTTAATTCAAACGTAAAAGCATTTTAACCAATTCAGCAAACACTTAGTCTTTCAGAGGCTGTAGTGGAGGAACACTGAACCAAAGTTAGGCACATTTTGAAGTTGTATGCTAAGAGGTTACAGGATGATACAGTGGGATGAACTTACCACTCCAGCAAGTTCCAAGAATTGTATGATTCTGTCATCGTCCACTAACCCTAAACAAAACAAAACTCACTTTATGAATATCTCTCCATATAACTCAGATTACAAACTAATTCCAAGACTCAAGTTTAGAATAATACAAAGATAAATGTATTATTATTATTTTTGTATTAAAGAGCTGCTTTGATCAAACACCCTTTTTCTATTGGGAAACATTTGATATTAAACAATTAAGTTATATAGCCGTTAAATGTTGAAGAGGTACATTTACAGTTCAGGGAGAGTGAAAACCGATACCTGATGCAGGGTAAATATCTTTCAACGGGTAGATGACCTGTCGGAGAAAAGTTAGTTAATTTTTGGTACATTTGATTCCTTCGGGAACAAGCACTTGTACATTAATTGTCCAACACGTTGCAGGCTCAATAGAGACACAACACAGAAGAGGAGACAGCTACCTGTTCCCGCAGCGTGCCATCGGTGAGGTACGGTTTCTGAGGCAGGAAGAGGGTTCCTCTGGGCCCGAAACACGTGGTCATCTGGACAAAACCTGAGGGGAGAGGACGCAGGTGTCATGAGGCTACTAATGTTTTCTGAATCATTTGACTAATGGGGCTGCGGTGGAGAGGTCGATGGTCGTCCTCCAAGCGGAGCGTAACCCCAAAGTTCTCACGATGGCATGGTGTGAGTTTGTGTGTAAATGCTGAGTTGTGTTTGTAAACAGGTTTTTGAGAGCTTCAAAATGCGCTATATATGAAGTTCATTTACGATAATGTGCAATAATTAAAAAAACAGCCTTGTCTCGAGGCCCTCTCACCGCTCTCTGCCTCCCAGAGTCGGTTGAGGACCCTCAGGAGTGACGTCTTCCCGGTGCCTGTGTTCCCCACCACCAGCAGGTTTGATCCCTGGCTGATTTTCAGACTTAGGTCCTCCACCAGCAGCTTGTCCGAGAACGGAGATTTGTACGAAAGGTGTTCTAGGATGAAGGCGGTGTCCACAGGGCCTGCGTGGACGTTGAAGTCACTGAGTGGAGAAATAAATAAACGTTGAAAACCTTTGTTCAAAACACCTTACATTCATTGTGTGATCTTATTTGCTTTTCTAAAATCTAATCTTAGCCAAGTGTCTCTTAACACGTTCCTGTAGTCTTTAACTGTTCTGTATTGCAGCCGAGATTCAAGTAAAAGTGCTCCCACAAACCTGTCAAAGTCGTAGCTCTCCCCTGATGCCGGGTCATAGTCACACTGCGTGCGAAGTATGTCGTCCATCACCTCCCTCAGCTCCCCAATCCTGCACACACACACACACACACACACACACACACACACACACACACACACACACACACACACACACACACACACACACAGTGATAGAAAGGTGGATGGCATGCACAAACGCTGCTGTCATCATCTGTCCTCCAGGAAGTGAACGTATGCAGTGTGCTACCTGTGGGTGTATCCAGCCACGTCTGTCAGAGTGGTGGACAGGTCTATTAGCTGCGTGAAGCCATTTATCAGGTAGATGCACACAAAGGCGTTCTGAATATGGACAAGGAGAGGGAGAACCGGAGCAGAGAGTAAATAAGAGACACCATTATTTAAAGAGGAGCGTTGGGACAAGGAACAATGAGGACGACAGCATGGAAAGGAGACTTTAATACCGGCTCATGATAACACTTTAATGTGATTGTCTACATGTTCTTGAGACAGTTTGGAGCTACAACATATCTCTTATCTTTTAGAAGTGAAATCTATGTTTATCAACAGGCATTCAAGCTGTGACTGTTTTATCAGGAGAAAGCTTTTGCTGCCACCTTGTGGTTAAATTACACCATGTTTGTTAGCTTTTTGCTATTTATTGGCTATTATTTGATGGCAAACCTTTCAAACACTGTCACCTCTCAACTAAACTTAAAAGTAAAAGGAACATATGTATACTATTTTAATTTTACATTTTCTATATACACTAACTCACAATTTAAGTTTTTTTAAATGTGGAAAATAGTGTACTCTTTTTTTTCTCTTATTGTCTACCCCTCATTTTATTTATGTCCCTGAGGACAAATTAAGACTGATTAATAACGTTGATTAAAACTGGGAGTCAAATTCACACACCTGCTGACCGCATGAAAAGAAAAACATTATTATTATTTTTTTTGTATGTGAACAAAGTAACATTTCTTAAGAACTGCAGGTTCTGAGAAGAAGGGACACAATAAATAAAAGCACATGCTTACCTTACTGATGAGTGCGCTGAGCTCTCCAGGAGTGAGACCGTTATAGAGGCCGGTGAAGATGGGAATGGCGATTATGATGTAGCTGAGGAAGCCTCCGAGGTAGTCGAAGGTGTTTACCCCGACTGAGGAGAGGGCAGAGGTTAAAAAGTTTAATCACAGCAATGAATGAAAGATATGAGTCAGTGAGAGAATGGTCATGTGTGAGGTGTTCTTACTATAAAGCCAGAGCTCCTTGTTTATTAAACTCTTCTGAGTTTCTAGCAGAGCCTGCAGTCTGCGGTCTGTCCTCATGTGCTCCACTTTACCCGCTCTAAAAACACAGACAGCAGCAATGTTCACAACTCAGTGATTTGATTATTAAGAATGTTTCAGATAATGTCGTTTTTTTATATTAATCACAGGAAAGTACAACAAGAGTTTAGTTTATATGCAGGTTACTGATACTAAAAGTTCCAGAAATGTCTGCATTTTCATTTTTAGGAACGCAATTCAGACATTCAATATTCAAAAGACTGTTAGAACAAATAAGAAAAAAGGTTGGTTTACAAGTCATGTGTTTAAGCCTCACCTGTAAAACGCTGCAGACTCTGCATTGACACGGATCTGCATGTGTTTGAACCTGAAAACACAACAAACGTATCTTAAGCAACACAATTTAAGTCTAAACACATTCGCCCGTCAACAGAAAAACATATAACCTCAGCCAGGGAGTAATGTTTCGGATGTATTTTTTGGTCCATTTCTCCGTCTATCAGCAGGATTACAGACAAAAAAACGACAGGACTGATGTTTATGAAACGTGGTAGTGAGGTGGAGATGGGCTAGGGAAGAACACAATAACATGGAGCAGACTCAGAATTGATTTTGTACTTTTGTTAACATTGCAAGAGAGCGCCTGGCCTTGGTGTGTCACTTTCCAAATGCCCCTCGAGGTTATCTTGGGACAGTTTAACCACAATTTCTCTTTTGTAGCTGACGCATATCCCGTGTCATTTCCTGAGAGGCAAAAGGCACTGGGCCAGGATACTAAGATGCTTCCTCTTGACAAAGGACTGATTTCCAAAAGAAAATAACACCGAAAGGATTTGCATGAAACAGATCCCAAAACACCCGACCAACCACTCAGTTAAAGACAACACTTTTTAGTCAGTTCTGATCTGCTTTTTTATTGACCTGGATAAATTGATTGTTTGTCTTTGTCTTACATATTGAGTGAACTCACCTGAAGTCCCCCTCCAGTTTTTCTTGCTCAAACAGAGTCGACACAATCGGCCCCATGAGGATTTTATTGGCAATGGTTCCAACCACAAAGTAGCCAAAGATACTCACAGGACCGATCCAGCCGGTGCTGCAAAGAAACGCCATTTTAGTTAGAAAATCCCTTTTAAAACACTAAGGTAGAATTATACAGAATGAAACACTCGAGGAAATCTAAGTTATAGTGTGATTTCGCTTCAGTTACAGTGGAAAATAGAGACTCACATTTGACAAACGGCAATAAAAACCCTTTTTAGGGACCATTTATATAAGTTTGTGTCTACTGTGTATGTAAACGTGGCGTTTAACAACTTTATCAACCACCACTGTTGTCTCAATAACAACCAAATCGCTCTCCTCTTCCTCAGAGCCTACTAGTTGTGACACATTTAGAAAAGGTATTCAGACCATCAGGTAAATATCAAGAAATATAATCAAGTTTATCGACATCACCTCGTTACTTTTAGCGACCTTTGGACCAGTGCTAGCTAATTCCATTGGAAAAGAGATGGCATCTTTGTACATCTGTCACACTGCTTTTCTATTTCTTTTTTCATTATGAATATTAAAAGGGAACCAGTTGAAATGCAGATGTTTTCATTTTTACACAGCCATTACATTGTGCAATCAACGTTAACTTCACAATGATAAGTTTAAGCAAAACCGATATCTATGCTACTATAAAAGTGAATAAGAACAGCTAGCCTTTCTCGAGTCCTAACCATCCACACACAAAGAGAAGAGGGGATGTCTACACGTGATAAATAAAAAAGGACCTGTGGCTGTGATAAAGAGATATCTTCAGATAGAGCATAATGTCTCTGAGGAGTAGGTATTACATGTGTGAAAGTGTGTGACACTCTACAAACACACCTAAGGAAGCAGTGGTAGGTGTAGTAGGTCAGTGTGAACGGTGACACAATCAAGCGACTGGCCATGGTGCTCATCTGCTTACACAGCCGCTCTGCATCCTGACTGATCCGCTGGTCTCTGCAAGTACAAAGAAAGAAAAATAATTCAATTCAAGAAAGTTCATAATTAACCCTAATAAATATATTCTATATTATTTTCTCATCAAACCTTATGGTGATGTATTGATACATGTTGATATTATGTCTTCATTCAATGAAACAGCATTATATGAGACTACTCAGAGGAAAAAGTATCAGAGCTTACGGGTTGTCTATATCCTCTCGGAGGACATTGAGTGTGTAATAGACTCGGCCCTGGAAGTAGGACGTATGGAGGCTCTCAGTCAGCGTCCTCCTCCAGCTCAAATACATCAGGTTACAAATGTACTGGTCGACACTTTTCAACTGGGAGAGGGAGAGAGGAACAAAGAAGGGAGAGATTGTCAATAGGGAACACAGAGACAATAAACAGTAGTTTTATAGCAATCTTCATGAGACTTACAAGAGTAAACTTCAAATGATTTCAGTAAAGGCCTCATTCCTTTTCTAAATAAATGTGGTCAAATAAACTCAATATTGTGATAGGTGTTCAAAATCCAAGTATGAAGTGTGTTAGGCTGTAAAATGAAAATGTCCGGCTGACCTGACCTTATAAATGTTCCATTACCTATTATAACAACAATCCAAAACCAAACATGATGTCATACAATACAAATATGGGAAACAATGTACCTGACTATGGATTTAGATTCAGCAGCACACATGTAATCCAAGCAGATCATGTGAAGTATTGAACATATAGGATTTTTTTTATGATGAAAGTAATTTTGAAATATAAATGATATTCCTAAATAGACACAATAACAAGTTCCTGGATATGGTGTAATATTATTATTAATATAATGGGTCCCATGCTTAAATGACTCACCCTGCACAGCAAAAGTGTAAGCATGACACACAGAGGGTCGAACTATTTTTTAACTTTGTTGGTTAAAACTAATATCAGTGTGTAGGTCAACTGCTTTGTCTTACTGTGGAGTTGATCACGATGAGCATCAAGGCGGTGCCCACCAGACTCTTGAAGCCGGAGTTATCTTTGTCTGCGAGCACATTGTAGAAGCGGCTGGGGAGGACTCCCACCTGGTAAATGATCAGCTGCTCTGAAGCAGAAAAAGATGTGTTAGTTAGCACATTGTTAGGATAACAGTCTCATTTAACAACATAAGACAATTGGGCGACCTTTAAACCGAACTTTGAGCTTAAAAAAAATCACAGTACGCATTCTGGTGTTATCTGGAGTGTAATTTTACAATGCCACAAAAGGCATTGTCTCACACACAGGGAATGTGTCTCGTTATGAGGCTTCGTGTAACAGGCATTTCATTTCATTAAATAGCTTCCTTCATCTGATGTGACAATGTATTTCCCCTTTTTGTTACTGTTCTTCTGTTGCACAAATACATATGAGACTCCAGCAGTTACCTGTCAGAGTGACAGCGAGCAGCGTGGCAAACATGAGAGCGCTTTGACTGGTCCATGATGGGAACAGGACCCTCTGGATGCTGCAGAACCTCTGAACAAACGTCCAGTCCAATTTCAGTCTGAAGCAAAACAAGAAATACATTTGTTTTAGAAAATGGCAATATCTGGATGTAATGTTTAAAGTTAGATCCTGTGGTCAAATGCATGAACTGACACTTTTGTTATGGTGAAATTATTGCATTACTTTGCATCTTTCACTTTGAACATTTAAACTAAAATCAAGTGTTGTATTATAAGGTGTATTTTTGAGTTTCTTCAGTTTTCTGTGTCACTTGAATGATTCCATGTAAGGTACACAATTACTACACAAAGTGAAAATGTGTCTCAGTCTTACCTTTTTGTCCCTCTTCCGTTTGACTTTTCTGAACGAGGCATCTGCACAGGCGGCAGATGTTTAAGTTAACTTGTTTTTCAACCCACAAAGTCATAGAAGTTTCTATGAATTGATTAACAACTGTTAACTAGCAGGTCAAGGTAACTTCCCTAACCGATGTTTAACCTTAAAGCAGCCAAACCGGTTAGCTAACAGCTAACACGTTCTAGCGAGGGGAATACTAAACAAAGACCCTCAAAACTATTAAAAACAACGTTGCTTTGTATGCCTTGTCATTGCTTTTGATTGAGTTAAATGTTACCCAACTTCAGCATCGTCGAATCGACCTGCCATTAAACAATGCGCAGAAGGTTTTTGTTTTGGTAGGTAAAGCAAAAGCCCGGACTTCCGCAGTAATTTACTCAGGTTTTCAAAATAAAAGCTTCACTAGCTTTTTATGCCAGGTCGAGTGAGACAAAAACAAAAATATCATTCTTGCCAATCCACTGAACTCTAAATTAAATTCTTGGCAAAAATACGTTTTTACAGGTCTTAGTTACATTCATTAATGCATGAAAAACCGCCAAAATATCTGTCCCATTGAGGAATTACTCTCCAGAAATGATGGTTGCCTTGCCTATATTAGTGGTAGAAGAGGTTGACTAGGCCACACCGTTTTTTTGTTATTTAATGTAACAATACTATGGATTAATATACTTTGTTACAAGAACAAGTCCTGAATTTAAAAGGTTAGCTATATAAAAGTAAAAAAAAAGGATTGGCATCAAAATGTACTAAAAAGACAAGATATAGAAAAATAGCAAACAATATCAGGTGTTACATATACCTGTCACTCCTGTAGCTCAAATAAATGGAGTAGAGTAGTTACAAATATTTATCTTTAAAATATAGTGGAGTACACATCAAATAGCTTGAAATGGAAACGTCCACCACTGTGTATAATACAAGTATTTTCAGTGAGTTTCTGTGACTATAAAAGGCTATTGATGGTTGCGGGTACTTGGGTGTGGCCTAGCTTAGAGAGCTTGGCGATACATGAAAGGATTGAAAATACAAAATATAGAGCCTGGAGCCCTGGACACCAGTAATACCTCATTATAGTAAAACTTTTCCGCACTGGAAACATTATTGTCAGTCATGCAGTGTTGGACTTTCCTGTCGGCTCCCAGACCGTAGTCGAGCAAACAGGGGGGATGACTGTCGTCTCCCAGGGCAGAAGCAACAAGCTTCAGGTTCAATAACCCACTTTAGCTTAAATTACTGGAGAGAGGTAAGCTCTTCTTGGGAGGCCGTTGCATTTATATAGTTGTTCTTCTGTTTCACAAAAAACATCACAGACCTCTGTTTTTCTGCTGCCTCGTTTCACTTCCAGAAACATACCTCGCTCACCCTACTACTACCACACACACACACACACACACAGACTGCCAAGGCCACACGAGGGGATAGGACACACACACAACACACACACCACACACACACACACACACACAAACACACACCAACACACACACACACACACACACACACACACACACACACACACACACACACACACACAAAGAAATATGGAAACTGCCAAAGAATGACCTAAAATGATCATATCAAATTATGTATAACCAAATATCACAAATTACATTTTAAATATTTAATTATGCTGAATGGGTAAGGATTTAAGATTGCAGTGTGAGGGTCAGGTTATGTGCTGACTTCTTGGAAATGTTGGTTTTAAGGGATATTTTTATCACTTAAATCCAACATTTCCAAGAAGTCAGCACATAACCTGACTTTCACAGATATAACTCAAAGTACAATTGAAGGACAGCATAGAGAAGATCACTGATTGGGCTTTGGTTACATACCAGATAAAATACCAACAGCGCTTATCTATGGCGCTCAAAGGTTAACATTACATGTCACTTGTTAGACGCTTTTATCCAAAGCGACTTACATACATATATGGCAAATCCCCACAGGAGCAATTTGGGGTGAAGTGTCTTGCCCAGGGACACAACGACATGCTGATTGCAGTGGGGTTTGAACCGGTGATCATCTGATCCCCAGACCAAGGCTCTATCCACTGCGCCACACGCCGCCGCCGGTTAAGCAAGGAACCAATTTAGGATTTGGTTGCAGTATTTCTTACATAAATGCAATCTGTTGTTTTCCAGCATACAGAAAATCTCATGTCAAACTTGACACATTTGCAGCACTCAAAATAAAATCTCACATGTGCTGATTTAATGGCCCTTTTCTGATATTTCCTTGCAAGAAAGATTTAAATAGAGCAATTCAGAAAGAAAAATACATACAATAGGTTTTCTTAATGTTTTATTCTCCTTGTTTCAATATTTTCACCAAATGAAAGTCCTTGAATACTAGAAAAAGGTGTGGGAATGGATGGTTATAATAGACCTATACATATTGTACTAAGGATATACGGTACTGTAAGAATAAATGCTTGGGCATTAATGTCATGACATGAATAATAAAGCAAATCAATATCTGAACAATAAACAATTAAGAACAAATACACAATTAAAACATTCAGAATTAGGGTCAGTGTTTGTTGCCTGAATATTATTTCTTAGAAATCAAGTATGAATATAGATTTAGAATGTATTTCTATAGAGCAAGAATACAGCCCAAGTAAGTAAAGGTGGCAAAATAATTTATACAAAAAAAATGTAATTGTTTTGTATGATTATCAAATTATTATTTTTAGCACACAACTTACTCTTGAGCCCAAAAAATGTACAAAGAGTGGGCGATGACCATGGCGATGACATAATGCTGAAAAGGCGTTATAATACAAAAGCGAGAACCGTCACGGTAAGCTAAAATGAGTATTTGAATGAATTCAGGTTGAATTCGGGACAGTGACAAAAGAGAAGTGAGGTGACTTCAAACGTTACTGATTCATGGTTTGGTTTATTCTTAGAGCATTGAACTCTCCGATAACATGTTAATATATAGATTTTGATCAATGAAGTAAATGTACAACAGATTTCTCATCAATATGATTACAAGCACCAAAACATCACATTTGATAGATTTTCATAATTGCAAAGTTCCAGTATACCCCTAAATGAGTCGACCTGGATCTAAAAGGACGAGGCAGGTGATGCTCTTTATGGTTTCGTTTTTGTCAACAAATCCCCCCAAAAGAGACCAAGACCGATAATGCTTTAGTCTTCTTTTGATACTTTCCAACTTCTGTCAGTCTGTTGTTCTGGGATCCGAGCCCATTGGTTGGTTTTTAAAAGAGGAAATAATGCCTAAAACGGCTTGTCCATTAATATGAACAGGATGAAATACTGTATTAGCCGTGTTCATTTTCAGTCACCAACTGATAATCATTTGGTTCACTGGCTGCAGGAGCCGAACTACAATGCCCATGCTCATTATAATGATGTGCAACAGTTTGGCTTGTTGATGTGTATTTCAGAAGTCAACAATGGAGCACTGATGGATATTGACAAAACTAAACATATAGAATATCACCACTATCCTTTAAATTAATTTCTGCTGTACAGAAAAAGAGCTTTTAAAGCAAGCAGCAGGTTTCCCAGTGCTCTTCACCTGTCACATGTCAGCAGCACACAACACTCAGGCAAGGCTGAAGATCTTAAAGAAGAGAGGCACCACACTGACACAGCTAAAACCAACAACACTGTAGACGATGTAACGGTACGGCAGCTCTACTTTCATGTGCTGCCGCGCCTGTCTCACGTCGTCTGTTGGCAGGCCGAACAGTCGACATAAGGACGGGATAGTCACTGCTTTCATGACCATTCTTGTGACGAGGATGACGGCAACACCGATGACGAAGCGCAGCAGGGAGAGGAATACCAAACTGAAGCTGATGGGTGGTAAAGTTAGAGGAAGGGAGGACAGCGGGGGGTCCAGCAGCAGACCCAGCTGGTAGTTCACGTGGGTGCCGATGGCAGCCCCTACCCCAGTGCCAAGAGCCTGAGCTGTGTCGCCCCGTGAAGTGCTCCAGGAGTCCAGAGAGAAAGCCACAAGTCCCAGGCTCACATGTGACACGATAATCACAAGTGGAGCAAAGTGGTCCGTCATGTAGAAGCTGTCAATCGTCTCCAAAAGTGGGTGGAAAAAGGCTAGAATAAGAAGGCTGTACAGGAACCCAGTGATTACCTCCTGCAACACAGGCACATCTATCAGTGGAAACCAGGCGTATACAACATGAAAGGGAATCAATCACATTTGATTTATACAGCCAAATATCACAAATTACACATCTGTCTCCGGGAGCTATACAGACTGTAAACATTCCCCAAAAGAAACTCCACAATTAAAGGGGGGGAAATGGAAGAAACCTCAGGGAGGGCAATAAAGGAGGGATCCCTCTTCCAGCACGACCAGCTGTGCAAAGTCGATATGTTTTACCGATAGCTGTACAAATACTTGCTTAAAATAACCAAAGTCTTATAAAGCACATGTATGATTCATTAGCCATGTTTTATTGGCAGAATTAAAGTGAGAAGTCAAATCTAAATATTTTCAGACTAGGAACACAATCAGTTTGTATATCATCGTATAATAAAATGAAAGAAAGGCTGCTGACTGATAACCAGGTGTTACTAGAGAACACAAACATCTAATAACCTCAGTTGCCTGGCTACAGAGTCTTATCTACTGGCTTTGATTTGTTTACTGTAGGGCTACAATTATTTTATTATAGATTCATCTATGGATCATTTTCTAGATTAATGGATTTATAGTTTGGTCTATATTATGTGTCTGAGCTGGTTTGTGGAGGCAAAGTATTACGCTATATTATACCTTTCATTTAGATTTTATTAAAGGATTATTTATTTGAAATCATGTATTTGATGTAGTTACCAGAATAGAATGCATCCCCATGTAGACTCTGCTGACACAGACCAGGACGCTCCAGCTGAGGGCCACACTGAAGCCGAAGAGGAAGGAGTACTAGGAGAGATAAAGACATGGCATCAAACAAATAGCATTGATATCAGAAAGGTGGCAGAAAATGGGTCTGCAAAAACCATCCAGAAAATAGATCTTCAGTGTGTCCATGAAACCAGTTTGACTACTTTTCCCCTCAGCATCCTGTTGAATATGACCAAACATACAGAAGTAGATGCTCCTGAACATTGCAGGGCATTAACTGCAACGTTTTCAATTACTTAAAGTATCCTAGAGGTGTGAAAACTCAAGACCCGGGGGCCAAATCCGGCCCGCAAGAGCTCTGAAAGAATATAATACGTTTATTATAGGGGTGCACCGAATGGGTAATTCTTGGCCGAAACCGATACCGAAAATAGGAAACGGTTGGCCGAAAACCGAATGCCGAAAATGATTAATAGAAATATATATATATATATATATATATATATAATGTATACATTTTACCAATGTTGTTCAGCTGCCTGATTATGGAAAATAGACATGATTATG